TATACATCATCTGAAAGATGAATAAATGAGCTTTCATTGATGTATGGTTTGTTAGGATAGGACAATATTTGGCAGAGATACAACTATTTGAAAAACGAATCTGAGGGTGCAAAAAAAATCTAAATATTGAGAAAATCTCCTTTAAAGTTGAAGTTCTTAGCAATGCATATTACTAATCAAAAATTAAGTTTTGATATATTTACGGTAGGAAATTTACAAAATATCTTCATGGAACATGATCTTTACTTAATATCCTAATGATTTTTGGCATAAAAGAAAAATCGATAATTTTGACCCATACAATGTATTGTTGGCTATTGCTACAAATATACCCCAGCGACTTAAGACTGCTTTTGTGCTCCAGGGTCACATATGTGCATGTACCTGTTGTTGCAGTGTCCTGTGATGGTACGGTAGCGTTTGGACACACAGTCAGATTTACACACGTGTCTCAGCGTCTCTGAGGAACAGCCTGTTACCTGCAGTATGGTCTCCATATCTTCTGCACTTAAAAGCTCTGAAATGCACACATCTGATGTTGATATGACTTCAGAGACATACATGTACTTGTAAATTACCCAAATGTATGAGTGCGTACCGGTGAGGTCGGGTTTGTCCATGGAGTGTGTGTAAACCATCTCTCTGATCAGCTCTACAGTATTATCCAGAAACTCGGCGGATGTGATGTGGCTTCTGGTTTTCGGGCCGGTTTGTTTGAACAAGGCCAGCAGGTCACTGGGTCGGACAGAACCATCTGAAACGGACGTCTTCACTCTGATAGAAAAATGAGAGAGCGAACACAAAATATAGAACAGGAAGTAAATAATTTTATTGCTCTATAGCCTTACTGTAGGACAACTACTGACTCATTTGGGTCTGTTTTTGTCTCTATTTTCCTTTATTGACTTGCTTGGTTAATACTTCAATCAAATGAGCTTTGACTTTGACTAAAGTCTGTATGTCTCACCTCTCATTGGTGTGAGCATACGCGGCGTCTGTCAGCTCTCTGGCTCTGCGTAAAGCTTCCTGAATGAAACTAGATCCCAAATACACTGAAAAACACCACAAAACATTTCACTTCAAAACCTGCCATTCACTTTTGATATTTGAATTGACAAAAATGCAATAATGGAATTCAAATGATTTATTGTGAACTTTATATGTAACTCTGACAGTTGTACTATATAGAAAGTAAGCAGCTAAAAACTTCAAAAGTTCATTCTTTTTTTTGCTACCCAGAGCAATACTAACTGGACCTATAAAGTGTACTTCAGTACCTGTTGCATTCTGGGAAGGAAAATGAGATGTGGCTGACAGCGGCAGACACAATATCACAAATACAGAAAGAATCAAGCATGAGAAGGATTCCTGCAATGAGAAAAATATATATATTTATGGCTGCTGATGCTCAATAAACCAAACATTAAATCTCAGTTTTTTGCAAATAAATAAAAAAAATTATATATATATATATGCAGCTATTATGCAAAATAATATTAATATAAATAATAATAGTATTCTTTTTTAGTTGTACTTACCAAGCATGTTGTGTCCATCTGTACGGTCTTGAATTCTCACTCGTTTTTGTAAAATATATCACATTTTGCTCTTGCTTCAAAACTAAAGTATAAGTGGGTTTGTGTACATTAATGTACAAAAAATATAGTAAATAAATAACAATGAATACAGAAAAATTATATTCAATTAAGTGTTTAAAAAGCCAGAGTATTAATACATCACCATCTGAACTATTATATAGTGCATGACTACAATTCTGTGTAATTATGTGTATGAGAAGGTTATGTCGAGGACTGACTTTTATACGCTGGCTTTGGTCTACAGGTATGTGCAGAATTCTGTTATCTGTGTGACTGGTGACAACAATTCAACATCAAACAGTCCCGAACACACATGGAGCGACTGTCCTGCCATAATAACCTCTCGATCCAAACCCATCATCCTCTATCTAATGGGGTTATCGACACAATCACTCCTCATGCAAGTCAGAGAGAGCCACTGCCTTCTGAACAGAAAGTGAGCAGTGGTTGCTAAGGTGTTCTAGGTGTTTTTTTTAGTGTGTTTTGGGTATAATATGGTTTATAGATATGGCTTGGGTCCGTCCTTGAAATTCTGAGTTTATCGCCAGTTTTATGATCTTATTATGGTCCAAGTAAAGTATCAGCACACCTTTTCTCAGCAAAACACGATTTGAGGAAAAATTAATGTCTGGAGCACAAATGCGGCAGGACGAGACACACTTAACCTTAAAGCAATAATTCACCCCAAAAATGAAAATTTGCTGGTAATTCACTGCACCCTCAGGCCATCCAAGATGTAGATGAGCTTGTTTCTTCATCAGATTTGGAGAAATGTAGCATTGCATCACTTGCTCACCAATGGATGTGAATGGGTGCCGTCAGAATGAGAGTCCAAACAGCTGATAAAAACATCACAATAATCCACAAGTAATCCACACCACTCCAGTCCATCAGTTAATGCCTTGTGAAGTGAAAAGCTGCATGTTTGTAAGAAACAAATCCATCATTAAGACATTTTAACTTTAAACCATTGCTTCTGGCCAAAATATGAATCCATAATAATGCTTCCTCCAGTGAAAAGGTCCATCTTCTGTTGTCTCTTTCATCAACATCCACCCACATATTTGTTTAGAGCTGTTTTGGACTGTTTTTGCTTGTAAACGTGTTTGATCTGTGCAAATTTCTCTCCTGATTTAGACAGGCGACCTTCACTGGAGAAGGATTATTATTGATAAGAGGACTCGGAAGCAACGGTTTGGAGTTTAAAACGTCTTGATGCATTTGTTTCTTACAAATGTGCAGCTTTTCACTTCACAAGATGTTAACTGATGGACTGGAGTGGTGTGGATTACTTGTGGATTATTGTGATGTTTTTATCAGCTGTTTAGACTCTCATTCTGACGGCACCCATTCACATCCATTGGTGAGCAGGTGATGGAATGATACATTTCTCCAAATCGGTTTTGTTGAAGAAAACACATCTACAAACTCATCTCAGGAGGCCTCAGGGTGAATAAAACTTCAGCAAATTTTAATTTTTGGGTAAACTATTTATTCCTTTAACATTTAGTGTCAGGAGTTCGTTAATGTTTCCCGTAATCCGCCTTCTTTCTGCCCACCTGCGGATGACACTTCTGCTGGCACAGGAATGATCTGATAGAAGACACACCTGGAAAAGAGGTCAGTGGAGCAACAGAGAAAAACAGAGAGTTCTGAAAGTCTGATAAGAGAAATTGCAAAGTGAGGAGAACTACGGGGATTCCAGGTCGATGACTTTAAAAGGCTGTTGTTCTCGCCAGGTTTGACGCAGCACTCGGGACAGGTGTGAATAACTTTACGTCTGATGGGAGCACATGCCTCACGGACCCACAAGCTGGCACAAGATGTAAATGTGTTTGAATAGCGCAGCACATCCATTTACAATCCAAATCTAGTGTCGGCGCGAAAAAATGAACTTCATAAAAACCTCACAAAGTCATTGCTAGTAGTCTTTCCATCCACTCAAATTATGTTAGTTTGCATGAAGAGCGATGAAGAGAGATTCTCTCAGTCGTGCGTTCAAAGAAACGACACTTTCAACATGGTTATAAATGAACATGATCCTTGTATTTGTTGTGCTTTTCATTAAGAGACCCCTGTTAAACCAGCTGAGCCACATGGCATTAGTTACAAAAACTCTTTTAGTTCATACATTTGCAATTATTTATAGTTGTCTCTGTTAAAAGAACACAGGTTTGTTAGTTAGACAAGGTTCTCAAATACTTTTTATATTTAAATAGATAATTATATATCCATTTATTTATTTATTTTCCATATATACTGTATATATATATATATATATATAGTGTCATTTATTTTATATATTCAAGGAATATACTGTATATCCTGTATAGTCCTAAAACCACATGAAAACACGTTGGGCCTCATTAATGAACATGGAAGTGTAGATTGAAGCATTCTTACATAAATTGTTCCATTCAACTCCATAGGATAATTTATGCATTAATGGATTTATGTTTAACATAAAAAGGTCCATTGTTAATACTGTGTCAGCACCTTATTAAATAGCTAAATAGGAAACAGGAGACACAATACTACATGTATGTCCTGGAGGCATATGTGGAGATCAAGTGGACATGGGAGTTTTAAGCTTGTTGAGACCATAGAAACCGGTCACAGCGCTCCAACATGGTCTGAATCAGTGCTCTAAAATGTCAGAGAGAAAACAAAAAAGAATGAATGCATGAGGACAGAAACTGTTAAACATTACCTACATTCAGAATGGAATACAAGTATACTGCGCAGTATATACTGTACCCTGCCTACTATTTTCCAAAATATTATGCAGGATACAAAAAAAAATATGGTCATAATGGTATATACTGTACACTGCCTAGTATTTTCCTAAAATGACATGTTTGGAATGCAATACTAACATCTGACTATTTTCTAAAAAATAATGTCTACATCCGAAATAGCAAGCTATTATACTACTCTTACTCTTTCTCCTATATCATATTATGGCAGAAATAGCAATAGTATGCTGTACTGAATTCCAAATTCAGCCAATATGTTCGGAATGGACTACTATTTTTCAAAAATAATGTTTAAATTCAAAATAGCATACTACTATACTACTCGTACTACTATTCTACTTATAATTTTATATGGCAGAAATACTAAAAGTCATATGCTAGTATGCTATTCCAATATCAACTAATATGTTCGTAATGGAATACTTCCACTCTGCCTGCTATATGATAAACACTGCCTAGTATTTTCCAAAAACAATTAGATTGAAATGGAATATTAGTGGATACTGTGGAGTATATACTGTAGACTGCATACTAATTTTCAAAAAGTTAGCATACTACTATACTTCTCTTTCTATCTCTTCCATATCTTCATATGGCAGAAATAGTAAGAGTCATAATTAGTATGCTAGTTTAATATGTTTGGAATAGAATATTACCATACTATGTAGTATATACTTTTATATTTATATTTTTAAAAACATTTAAGTTTTGCATTGAATACTAGCATACTGCTTACTAGGGCTGGGTTTCGACACAAATTTCACAATATTGATTATTTTGGATATATATCAGGTACAAAACATGGCAAATTTTCTCAAGGAAAAAAAAATCTCTCAACTAATGCTGTAAAATATACCCGACAGTCAATAATATAGAAGGTTGAAATTTGCCGATTTGTGTACAAACACTTAAAATATACTCAAAGTTTTTGTAATACTAATTTTAACTTTAAATTACATAATTATATTTCTACTCCAATTCGTTTTTTGAAACATTTAAATGGTGGCTGTCACAAAAACTTGACGGATTTATTCAAACATAAATTAAATATTGAAGAACAGTAAAAAAGTTATAATGAATATGTTATATGGTGCATATTTAGCAAAATGCACCTCTCTAGAATTCATTTTTCTATGTGACGTTATGTGACACAATGTTCACAAGCTATTTCCACGTTTGAAACACTGACTGAGCGATAATATGAGACAGGATATGGATTTCGGTAGTTGCACTCTTTCTTTTAACATACCTTCGGATGTTCATTCATGTTTATTTCATGCTGTAACTGCTATTAAAGCAGAGGAGATGATCAGTTCAGTAACCGAGGCGCTACACCGATCTGTCACTCCACATTAAACAGTGCCGAAACGGCATTATTGTAATAAAATGGACAGGATTTGAAATCTGAGACTTTGTTTCATATCAAAAGTAACAAATCACAAAGCTTATTGCAATTTATTGGATGGGAGGCACGCTACAATCTTCCGTTCATTATCTGACTGGCTAGACTAATCGATTCTTGGGATTTATGAATTGATATAGTTTCATAGAAATGAGAATCGATTTAAAATCGAGATTTTTTACCCAGATACTAATTTTAACTTTAAATTACATAATTATATTTCTACTCCAATTCGTTTTTTGAAACATTTAAATGGTGGCTGTCACAAAAACTTGACGGATTTATTCAAACATAAATTAAATATTGAAGAACAGTAAAAAAGTTATAATGAATATGTTATATGGTGCATATTTAGCAAAATGCACCTCTCTAGAATTCATTTTTCTATGTGACGTTATGTGACACAATGTTCACAAGCTATTTCCACGTTTGAAACACTGACTGAGCGATAATATGAGACAGGATATGGATTTCGGTAGTTGCACTCTTTCTTTTAACATACCTTCGGATGTTCATTCATGTTTATTTCATGCTGTAACTGCTATTAAAGCAGAGGAGATGATCAGTTCAGTAACCGAGGCGCTACACCGATCTGTCACTCCACATTAAACAGTGCCGAAACGGCATTTAATATTTGAATATTGTAATAAAATGGACAGAATTTGAAATCTCAGACTTTGTTTCATATCAAAAGTAACAAATCACAAAGCTTATTGCAATTTATTGGATGGGAGGCGCGCTACAATCTTCCGTTCATTATCTGACTGGCTAGACTAATCGATTCTTGGGATTTATGAATTGATATCGTTTCATAAAAATGAGAATCGATTTAAAATCGAGATTTTTTACCCAGCCCTACTGCTTACTGAAGAGCACACTACCATTTTCCACGCTCTCACCTTTGCCGCTTCTCAGCCATACGAAGCAGATTGCAGACCAGCATGGAGCGTGAACTGAGATCCACCTGAATCCCGTGCTCCTGGAGGGCCGTCAGGGCCCGGTCCGGCCCGAACACCTGCATCAGACGCAGGATGATGTTCTCTGGGCTGATGCGAATGCTCCAGTCAGTCGAACCGTCTGATAGGTCGGGAGAACTATCGCTCGTGCCGTTAGTGTCGTCTGAACAGGATCCATTGGGGCTGCTGGGTAGAGCTGAAGCCGCCGGGGCTTCGTCGCTTGAACTGATTTGCTGGGAGACTATTTAAAGGGATAGTTCACCCAAAAATTTAAATTTCCCCATGATTTACTCACCCTCAAGCCATCCTAGTTGTATATGACTTTCATCTTTCAGACGAATCCAATCGGAGTTATATTAAAAACTGTCCTGGCTCTTCCAAGCTTTGTAATGGCAGTGAATGGGTTTTTCTGTTCAACAGTCCAAATGAAGTCCAATAAAGTGCATCCATCTATCCATCATAAAAAGTATCCCACAAGCTACAGAAAAGTGGTTATAACGTTTTAAATATGGATTTTTTTCTTACAAAAACGCATCGATTCGCTACAGGAGGCCTTTATTCACCCCCCGGAGCCGTGTGAGGCACTTTTTTATTATGGATGGATGCGCTTTATTGGACTTCTTTTGGATTATTAAAAAATAACACCCATTCACTACAATTACAAAGCTTGGAAGAGCCAGGACGTTTTTAAATATAACTCCGATTGTATTCGTCTGAAAGAAGAAAGTCATATACTTTAGGATGGCTTGAGGGTGAGCAAAGCATGGGGTCATTTTCATTTTTGGGTGAACTATCCCTTTAAGTGTCAGTCAGACAGTCTCTTCCTGTCTGAGTAGGAGGTTCTTGGTTAAAATCAGCGAATTAAGAGAGTCTATATTGACAGTTTTGAACATCTGTGATTGTTGTACCATCATCCCCCTCTAGTAGTGTCATGTCATCCAGTCTGCAGATGGCACTGAAAGCCTCGGGCCTCCGCTGCAGCTCTCTGCACAGGTACAGGTAACCCATCCAATACCTGAGAGACAAATAACACAGTCACAGTGTACCCAACTATACATTCTGATTCAATTCTATCCATTCCAACTCTACACTCACCCATGAGTTCTGCACATCTCCAGCATCTTCTGTTTGGAGGCCAGATTAGCAGGCAGGCGGATCAGCAGAGACAGCAGACGCCCATAACCCCAGCTGAAGAAATGAGAGCGCCACCTACAGCACAGGAGACATTACAATCAGCAAAACAGGAATGTAGTTTGATTTAAAGAAGAAAACAGGTTAACAATGATTATATAAATAATGTATTTAAATGGCATAGAGTACCATATATACACATAGCACAATGTGTAGAACTAATTATATATTTTGGTGTCCCCATCAAATTAAGTGATTTTATATACATAGAAAGCATATTAAATGCAAGCCAAGTGTCTACTTTAATGTTTCAAATAACTTTTGTGAAAATAAAGTGTTAAAATGTGGGTGAAATAATGTTCCATCGTTATTCAGTGTAACAAATATATTCACGTAAAAATTAAACAACATACTAAGTACATGACCTGTACTTATTAAAATATACAAAAGAAAAAGTTATCACACTAAATTGTATTATATTTTAAATGATTAAAAACTTCTAGCTGATAAATGGGTAAAAACTTGTGGTTTGAAGGATAGTGGCAAAGATTGGTAAAGATTTAAAATGATAATGAATTCGTTTTTAGGGGCTGCACTGTGATCCTTAAATAGAGTCTTTTAATGTCATCTAATGATTCTTGATTTGATTTGATTCTTGACTGATTTAAGGCAGTTTTAAACTTTTATTGTTTTGGCTTTGACATCCATCTATCTATCCATTCATCCATCCATCCATCCATCCATATCAAGTTAAACTAAATTAAAATGAGAAATGATGCCTTGACAACTAGCTGAAATAAAAAAAATTTTTTTTATAGATATTTTATTTTATTTCAAGTTATGTTTTTTAACAGTTTTAATTTTAGTTTCAGTTTTAGTTTTACTTAACTATAACAACCCACTCCGACCAGAGTGACTTGAATGAACCAGACGTCGTAATTAAATACGAACTTCCCAGGAGGACTTGAATAGACCAATTATTACAGTTAATTCACATTTGTGACCCTAGACCACAAAACCAGTCATAAGGGTCAATTTTTC